TCATACTTATACATATACATATGTAGTTATATTGAGATGTATTATTTTTCAGCTTGTTGTAAAATAAATTACCCTTACTGTGGAAAAAGTTAAAGAATATGCTGGAATACGAGGACGACGACGATGATGACGATTTCTTCTTCAGCACGATGTCCTTAATATTGAGATTGACCTTGTGCAACGGCGGCACCAATTGCACCATTTTTAAATTTGTATAGAATGTGTAAAAAAAGATGGGATATTTCTTTCTAAAATATGAAATGTAAAAGTGTTTGCTTCCTAATCCAATGAACACCAAGAAACAGTTACATAACATTAATGTTATAATTTTCCATTCAACAATATAACTGTTATGTACAACATGTGTTATATTACATTTATATTGCTGAATAGGAAATTATAATATTGATGTTATGTAACTGTTACTTGGTGTTCACTGGGAATACATGGACTCACATTATCATGCACGAAATCATGTACATCATATTATTTATACTTGCATTTTTATTTTATTGTAATAAACGTTAACCTTGAATTATTCTAGAATTTATGTGGATATACAATAAGAATCATTGTAAGAAAAAAATAATAAAGTTTTATTTCTCATATGATTGAAGTTGCTTTCTCAGAAGCTCAATTTCAAGTTGTTCTTTTTGCAGTTGTGTATTTAAAATTTTTAATTCTATTTTAGATTTTGCGCGCAGATCCTCCTTCATTAGCTCGACTAATTCGGTTTTAGATTGAGCTAAATCATAAAAACATTGGTTGCGTCTTACAGCGCTTAGTACAGGAGTTTTCGTTTGTCTTCCCCGTTTTAAAATTTTCTTTTTTACGATCGAACTTGCAACGTTTGTTGCATCTCGATTGTCCTTCGATGATGTTCCTAAAATTGTTTCTACTTCAGCATATGTAAGGTCCGAATTTGGAACTTCTTTATCGTCGCATACTGGAACTTGTAATTCAGTACTCTTCTTCGAATGTAGCATTGCCGGGGTCCAATCAGCCCAATTCGATGTTAAACCTGCTTCATCGAGTGCCTGTGTTTAAACATTGTAATTAGTATTAGTATTGTGTAATAATACATTTGGAATATATTGACCAACAATTTTCGATGTTGGTAAGACAATATACTTTTTCAAGAAGAATAGCACTCATCAAGATAAGAATTATATAGAAACAATTTTCAATGTACATACTTCAATATCCATAAATACATCATCGTTTGTATCCTGACCCTCATTTACGTCATCTACGCCTATAAAAATAAGTTTACAATTATTTCACATTTTTGAGATTATTGTTCCATTTAGAAAAATAGATGTTAAGGCATTTCCCAGTCAGAAATGATTCGTCGATCGACGTCGAAATGATGTCGAATCGACGCCTACAAATTCTTTCAATCGTAGGATCTACATGGCATTTGCTGTGCGGGATACAATATGTATACAATCTATGAATAATTATTTCAAAGCATATAAAATACATACCTGCTACATAATCGCTATCGAACTGATTCCGTAAACCATCGACCGACGGTTCAATAACATTTTTTACTTTTTCAGCTATCGGGTCATCAGGGATAGTCATCTTTCCGCCGCCTATACGTCAATTATTAATTAATAATTCTATACAATATGCTTATAATAAATATGCTTATATGTATATACATACCTGTTGCGAAAACTTCTTTACGTATTTCGGCAAAATGTTTCCGAGTCCTCTTTTTTAAGTTATCCCAGCAACTTTTTAGCGACGCAACATTTCGGTTTGCTTGTATGCATCTGCTATTAAACTCACGGCTTATGTCTAACCAGCACTTCTCTTTGTCTTTGATAGTTACAGAGTCGGTTTGTTTGTTTTCGATTATGTGTTTCTTACTATCGATGATTTCAATCAAAGTTATTTTTTCGTCTGTCGAAAAATTCGGTAACCGTTTTTTATTAGAATTGTCCTTCACGGACAATTCTTTTTTACACGACATTATACTGCAATCACTTTCTATCCTTTACTGCAGAAGACAATCGAATAACTGATGTCTTTACCCTTTGTCTTTACCGGCAAGATTTTTATCTACCCCTCTTTTTGGCGATATCTCAGCTAACCAATCACAGTTCATGTTTAAGGAGAAAGGAGCGTATGTTCTGAGTTTCAGTGAATAGGGTATAGGTTCACGTAACCTACGGTTAGAAATGAGTTGTGGAACGCGATACAGATTTAACGTCAGCGTCAACCTTAACGACCGTTCAGCTGAACTCGGTTTAAACTGAAAGTTGTGGAACCGGGCC